GCAAATTAAATAAATCGATGCAAGTTCTCCGTGTTACTAAAGATCACCAAGTCCAGCCATCACCACCACCGTGGTGGTGTTTTTAGGGCCTGTCAAGTGTGTTCCAACTCACAGGAACCGTGTCTCCCACAGAAGGAAACGTGGCACCGGTACTGAGCCATGCCGACCATCATTGGCCTCTTTGAGCCTATTGTTTCGGTCATTGTGTCATCCAGCTCATTGAGGGTCTTCTCCTTCTTTGCGGACCCTCGACCAATCAAGCTGCCCTTCTTCAGGGACTGGTCCCTCTGATAGCATGTCTGAAGTGCATGAAATCAGTTGTGTCAGCCTTCCTTCTAAGGAGCATCCTGGCTGTACTTCTAACACAGACTGGTTCATTCTGGCGGCCCACGGCCCAGTTGATATTCTTCAAAGGACCCCAAGGGCACATTCTTCTCTGGTCTTCCTTATTCATTGTCCAGCTTTTGCATGCATGTGAGGTGATTGAAAAGTACCATCACATGGGCCAGGTGTCACCTGAAAGGGATCTTTTGAATACCTTAAAGCAGAGGTTCTCAACCTTCTCAATGCTGCGACCTTTCTTACGTTCCTCATGTGGAGGTGACTCCCAACCATAACATTATTTTCGTTGCTCCTTTATAACTGTAATTTTGCTGCTGTTATGATCGTTATTGAGAATGATGAGGGCAATGAATGTACAAATGCGCTTTACACAATTGATGTGTGTATGGATTGTGATAAGAGTTGTATGAGCCCCTAATAAAATTTTTTTAAAAAAGATCGTTATGTAAATATATGCTTTACAGGATGTATTTTCATTGTTACAAATTGAACATCATTAAAGCATAGGGATTAATCACAGAAATATGTAATTATATATTGTGAAATACTTATTTCTAGTGACAAATCAATGGAATTTTGTCTTGAAGCATGGTGTAGCATGGGTAACAGTCTTCAGGCCAGGTACTCGTATGTGGGCTTATCTGCATGTGGGTGGACCCACCTGGAGATGGATAGAGGAAGTTTCTCCATTCCTAAGACCGTCAGAAATAAGTGTTTTCCAATAGTCTTAGGTGACCCCTGTGAAAGGGTCCTTCGACCTCCAAAGGGGTCGCGACCCACAGGTTGAGAACCGCCTCCTTAAAACTCTCTTGCAGGTGGGTTGGCCAGGGTTGGGTTTCTTGATTACTGCTCTTTGGACGTTGATTGCAGCTCCAGGTGAAAGGAAGTCCTTGACAATTTCACTGTTTTCTCTTTATGGGGAGGCCGTTGATCGATCCTATTGTGAGGATTTATTATGTGGAGGTGTGATCTCTACTGAAGGCTGTACAGTGAACCCTCGCCACTTCGCGCTTCGACTTCAGCGGCTTCACTCTATCGCGGTTTTTGCGTAACAGCGCCCACTGCCTACACCCGCTCCTTCAGAGGAAAAAGATGGCGACCCACCTGTAGAGTACATCCCTTAAGTCATTTCATAGGCTATTGATTACAGTATTTGTAAGAACTATGTATAATAATACTGTATGTGAAATATGTAATACTGTAAACTAGATGCCATAAATAATATAATAAATAATAAATGATAATTGTAATGTCCAACATGTTTTACTGTATTTTCCCTTTTTCGTTTAATAAATTGGGTAATACGAGTGTAATGGTGACTAAAGGGTGTTTTTTCATGTCCTCTATGCTCTAACTACGAAAATATTTGATTTACAAATAAGGAATCCTACTTTGCGGAATTTCATTTATCACGGTAGGGTCTAGAACCGATTAACCGCGATAAACGAGGGTTCACTGTAATCTTTGATCTTCATCAGTAAGTGCTGCAAGTCCGCTTTGGTTTCATCCAAGAAAGAGTTGTGTCATTTTCATATCTCCAGCCTTCAATTCCAATGCCATGTTCTTTATGTAGTGCAGCGTTATTTAGTTCAATTTATTTGCCCCACATCCAGATGGACTCTCTCTGCCAAGGAGTAAATGCTGAATCATAGGACCCCCCTGTGGCTTTCTGAGGCTGTAACTGTTTATGGGAGTAGAAAGCCCAGTCTTTTCTCCTGAGGAGCTGCTGGTAGTTTTGAACTGCTGACCATATGGATCACAGCCCAACACCTAACTACTACACCACCAGGACTCCTACGTAGATTGACTAAAGGAAGATGCTACAACCCAGATGCACACCTTCCTGATTTTAAACCATGCAGTATCATCTTGATCTGTTTGAACAACTGCCTCTTGGGCTAGCTTCTGCATACGCACAATTAATTTTTCTGGAATCCCATTTTCACAATGTTATCCATAATTTGTATGATTCACAGTCAAATGCCTTTACATATTCAATAAAACACAGGCAAACACCTTTTACAAAATGTATTATTCCCCCACTATCATGACCCCAGTTCTACCTTACAAATCCAGCTAGACCAGAGCATGTACAGATAAGAGCTGTCGACACACGGGATCCAGGACAGATAGACCCCTCGGGAACAATAATGGGAGTAGCGATACCATGAGGGTAGGGGCAAGTGGGGGGAACTGATCGCAATGATTGACATGCCACCTCCTGACCCTGAGGGGATGAACAGAAACGTGAGTGAAGGGACAGAGCAGATGTTGTTATGAAAATAATAATAATTTGTTATTCATCAAGGGTTCACAGGGGTGGGACCGTAGGGGAGGATGGAAAAAAGAGGAGCTGATACCAAGGGCTAAAGTAGAAAGAAATGTTTGAAAATGACATGTACAAATGGGCTTGATACAATTATTGTATGGATTGTTTTAAGAACTGTAAGAGACCCCAATAAAATGATTTATAAAAATTTTATTATTAATTTGGAGTTATACATACGTCATTCCACAGTTCAATCCACGTCAAGCCATACATCTTTCTTATATTCTCTGCTTTCAGCTAAGATTCGTCTGACATCAGCAATGAGATCCCTGCTCCACGTCCTCTTCTGAATCCAGCCTGAGCTTCCAGCAGCTCCCTGTTTAGTGCTGCAACTATTTTGAAATTATCGCCAGCAACATTTTACTTGTGATATTAAGGGTTGCTATGAGTTGGAATCTCAGTAATGGCATTTGATTTGACATTCATTTTTGGTCAACTAATGATATTATTAGACAATTTCTGCATTCCATTGGACCACTTTTCTTTGGAATGGGCACAGATAGGGATCTCTTCCAGTCAGTTGGCCAGGTAGCTGTTGTCCAAACTTCTCCTCATGGATGAGTGAGCACTTCCAGCACGGCCTCCATTTGTTGGAGCATCGTCATTGGGTCATTGGTATTCCCTCCGTCTCTGGAGACTTGTTTTGGCCAATGCCTTCAGTGCACCTTGGACTTCTTTGAAGACAATACCCATAGTCAAACTCATTATCCACATTTTGATTTGTCATCATGTATGAACAACCTCTTCCTGGTTCAAAAAGAAGGCCAGAAAGTGTTCGTGAGAAGGCTGGAGTTCCAACACGGGCAGTTACCAGAAATTAGAACTCGCGGGTACTAGGTCCACCATCCTTCCTCATCCGAGCTACTGTGACCTGGGCAACTCACTCGGTCTTTGAACCTGGACTGTATTTCTTAGACAGGAGGCCTGGGGGTGTAGTGGTTACGTGCTGGGCTGTGATTCACATGGTCAGCAGTTTGAAACGACCAGTAGCAACTTGGGAGACAGACTGGATTTTCTACTCCCATAAGCAGTTACAGTCTCAGAAAGCCACAGGGGGTTGCTATGCGTCAGCATTGACTTGATGGCAGTGAGTTTGGTTTTGGTATACCTTATAGGTTATTGGAAAAATCCTATGCGCTACTGTGGGAAAACACTTCCAACAAATTAAAGCCGTATGCAAATAGGTAGTATTTGCTATCACGAAGCTAGAGGCCATAGAGGGTGAGTCCAAAGCTAATACCGGTATTTTTTAAAGTAGCATTCTCTTGAATCTTTCACTCTTTAAGTGCCATTAGTATTCATATCAAACTCTTTATAAGCTTATTTCTAAACCATCAGGCTACACGCCTATCAATTTAATATCTTTAAGAACATTGTTCCTAGAAATATTGCTGCAAGGGCCTTGCAGAACCTTCCTTCAAATAGGAAATGGGCTTGTAGGTCAAAGCTGGCACATGATCATCTGCGAAATGAGCGCTGGTAATGACACTGCCATCTTATCAGAAGAGGTTAAAAAGGGATCTCCAATCTCCAATTGTAAGATACTGGGAACACATCACATTTTTGTCAACCAAATTAAAAAAATGAAGTTTAATTTCCCAAAATGTTATTAAAAATGGACTCTGTCATCAGATATCATACTGCAAAGATGAAATCTTGCTACAGAGCAGTAAAATTTGCTGTAATAATAAGCTTTCAACAAATAGAAATTCTTTTTGCAGTTCTTGAACTTGAGAGATTTTTGCCATTATAAAAAGTGTGTTCTCCATCACCTGCACCCCCGCCCTACCAGGAGTCATGGGCAAATGTTTCCTACAAGACTTTGTGCATTCAAATGGCTTTCAAGTTGTTAAGGCAAGTGGACCAGGGTGAGAGGAGTAGGAGGGTGGGGGGAATGTGACACTCGGTTAAGTCTTTAAAAAATTATCAAACACTTCCCAGTTCACTTCTTAGACTTTTTATTACTTGGTAGGGTAAAAACCTGCCATTTCCCCTCCCCTAAATCCTCAGTCTTTTCTCTCCTGTCATTACTTTGTGCCTTAAGAGAATTAAACTAACTCCAGTCATCTTAACCCTGTGGCAGATCCAAAGTTCAAGTTCAGAGGTAACTGTTACATATATTCTATGCTTAAATGCATGTGGCGATGGCGGCCTTAACACGAAACTCTTGATGTCACATTTCTTCTTCGACAGCCCTCTTGGGGTTTGAAAACGCTGACGTGCGTGACTGTCTGGGAGCCTCAGATGTCTGTGTGGCACTCTGTCCCCACGGAAAACATGCTCTAGAGAGCGAACAACACGGAAGATGGCAAAAGCTGTATCAATCTCATTAGTCTTTCTCTGGCATCTTGGCATACACATAGGAGTCAGTCTTGGAGGGCAATGGCGGCCTACTAGCCAGTTTGTTGTTTAGCCCTATTAGGGTTGAACAGGTGTGTGTCCAATGATAGAGGTATTCGATGACAATCTGACCAAAATTCCATACTTCAATTCGAGAATGAGCTGCACCCAGAGAAAAAGAAAAAACACAAAGAAAAAGTTTCATTATTCCATTATTATGTCTTACTATGGTTAAAACAAGACGTTTCAGGATGCTGCCCAACGTTTCTCAGCTATGGCCTAAGTCAAAACCATTAGCCAGATCGTCTTTAAATATCTAATAACTGAGAAATAGATATCATTTGTTATAGCCACATCATGAAGTTAACGATGAAAGGTCTAGAAATTTCATCACGGATATGTCTCAAAAACATCTTGTTGAGTACCCAAAAAATAAGTTGTAGAATAATACAACCGCAATTTTAGAAAGTGTGACTCCTTGAAAAACAATTAGAATGTCTATGGAATCATCAGCATGTAGTAAAAGTTCCAAAAAAGACCATGCAGGAGACTGCTAAACGTCAAATTTATAGCAGCATATATTTAGGGTGGAAGAAAAGAGAATAGGATTGACAAGGGGTAGAACGGCACAAATGTTTCAATCATCTGACGGAACTAAGGCTGTTGTTCGGTGCCATTGAGGGGGGTCCCATTCAAAGGGACCCTGTGAACAACAGAATGAAATACTGCCCGTCCATGTTCATGTTAGATAAAGAATGCAGCTTGGTCGATAACTACACAAGGGCTCATCCCTATTTATCAATGTTTGAAATATTCCCCCTTTAAGGATTATTTTAAAATACATAATCACAGCATCGTAGATTTAGTTTGTTCAGTTGCAAACTGTTAAGCTGTCATTGGTCGAAGTGACTCCCCCCCCCCTCCCCCGTGCCCCCAGCCCAGGAGTCAATGATAATCATATTAAGATAAGATGGTACACTGGCAAGAGGCTATCAGACAGAGCTCAGCTTAAACCTTGATACTCTCCCAACTAGTTTTGTGACCTTGACAAGTCACTGAATCGCTGAGCCTCGGCTTCCTCTTCCGGGAAATAGGCTCAAAATTCAGGAGTTGTTACGAGGTTTCATTAAAAAGGCACACAAAGGTCTCTCACAGAGTAGATGCTCCAACAAATGCTAATCACCTCCCTTCTTTTCAGGGGCTCCCACCCCGAGGTTTATGTCTTCTTCATTTTTGTTACTTCTACAAGTCTATCAGCGTTTCCTGGACCAATAAATTGCTGAGTTGAATGACATAAACATTACATTATACTTGAACAGGGTGTTTAAATATAGAGAGTCTTCCATACAGTAACTCAGTAACAATAATGACATTTATGTCATTCATGGATATCTGTTAGAATTTCTCCTGCTTACAAAACAGAACATATTTGATTTCTCTGTTTTCTTGCAACAGGAGGGAACAGGATTTTTTTTTTTTTAAACAGGATTTTCTGATCTAGGCTTTGCCTTCCTCTGGTTTCACTGGTCCTACAGGGAGAAGGGAAAGCACATGGAATGTGGCCAATATCCATAACCCCCCCTTTGTATTGGAGACCGACTGTAAGACATGTGGGTACAATTAATTTTCTGACATTCTCTCTCTTCACAAACACACACACACACAACACACACACACACACAGACACTGCCTTTCCTCACTCAACGGTAAGTGTCCAATAAATGTTGGATTTAAACAACATTAACTTATGAAATAATTGAATTCAGGGTTTCAGATACAAAATGTCTTTTCAGATTATAGGTCAGGAACATTAGAGACCATTAGGAATAAGAATAAAAACAGATGGCGGTCATGAGCACATTAACAAAACCCAATTCATCTCAGTTCATGGGCAATTTGAAACTAATCAGCATAGGCACTCATACTTAAGACTTGGAGGGGGCACTTATTACAATGGATCCCTCTTTGTATTAATTAGTTCCCAGGAATCTTTATAAAGTAAATGCCGTAGGCTTCTAAAGAGTACTTTATCTTTATTGCTGTTGCAATTTTAGGACTCTAAATGAAAGTTTACCCCAGGACACCCCGAAACCTAATTGTTGTAGCGGTAACAGCCCTTTTGGAAACTCCATTAAGACCCCGGTGCCGGGGACGCCCGCCGCTGTGTTCTCTGAACATCCACATCAACAGGCCAGGGCTCGGCAGCCTTTATGAAGCAAGCCAGCCGTCTCCATGGTGATTCAAGGACACGGAGAGGGGGGTGGTGGGGTGGGCCTACGTAGCCCCTGACGACAACCTTGGAGATAAGGGTGGTTCCTGTTTCCCCGCTCTTTCCCGTGGAGACTAACAACGCGTCGAAGGCGTCTTCTGACGGCGTCGCCTGGCTCGCAGGTGCGCTCCCCATCACTGTCCCACACTGCCCCCTCGTGGTGGCACAGGCTGCCTCTTGCAGGTGCGCCGGCGCCGACTCCACACCGCGCACAGGGTACCACTGCGACTTCTTTCCTACCTTCTGCATTGCGAAGGCAAAGGCGGGAATAAATGATCGGGACACATTGAAGCTCCAAAGAATTGCTGGTCCAGCCTTTGAGTCTGAAACCAAACTGACTGCTGTCAAGTCTGCACCCCCTTTAGACCTCGCGCCACAAAGGTGGTAACTCTTGACGGAGGCTGGCGGGTTAGCCGCTGAACGCTTAACCGCCGCGCAACCAGGGCGCATTCTCCTCCAGAAACATGATGATGATATTTTTATAGGTTCTAGTTTAATCAAATGTTTAATCACATAGGGAATTCACGATCCTGGAAACACTGGGCTAGTATACGAGATGTCTAAATTAAAACTCCATTTATGGATCCCTGCTTGAGTACTCGATTAATTAAGCTAACACCTTTGAGGATTACAGACAATTAGTAAAAATGGGCAAAGCAAAAATGAATGAAGTATTTAAACTTCAATTTGGAAAGCTAAAGTGTAACCGTTCTTTTCAACTAAAAATTAACCCAAGATCTGTGGGTAGCAATTAGCGTTTCAGAATGTTTCTGAAAAGAAATGAAAATTTTCCACAAGTTTTGAAGCCTTCTCATATTAGGATAAATCAAAAAGCATTGCTACAAAAATCATAGAAATAGTATACGAAAATGTGGAGCTATTTTTTTCTCCACACATCGTCCACTTAGGTCCATATACTTCTAAAGACAGCATTTTCTTCTGAAGGCTCTGCTCCCATCTCTCTAATCCTTCCTGGAAAAGAAGCATATTTTAACCAAAAAGAACTAAAGAAAATGTTCAAGCTTTGAACTGCAATATTGAAAGATTCTGTATTAATTGATGCAGGAAACATCCAAAGAAGATGGAAAGAATACACACAGGCATTGTGCCCCAAAGAACTGGTTGACCTCCTACCGTTTGATCATTTTAGGAGGTAGCTTATGAACAAGAACCAATAATACTGAAGGAAGACATTCAAGCTGCACTGACAGCATTAGCCAAAAACAGGGCTCTAGGAATTGATGGAATACTAATTTAAATGTTTCCACATGCTGATGAGGCACTGGAAGTATTCACTAGTCTAGGCCATGAAATTTGGAAGGCAGCCATGGGGCCATCTGACTGCAAGAGATCTATATTTGTACCCATTCCAAAGAAAGGTGACTCAACAGAATGTCCAGATGATATATCATTGATACCACATGTAAGTAAATTTATGCTGAAGACCATACATCAACGGTTGCAGCAATACATTGAAAAGAAACCGCCAGAGGTTCAGACCGGATTCCTAAGAGGACATCATTGCCGATGTCAGGTGGATCTTGGCTGAAAGCAGAGAACACCAGAAAGATATTTACTTGTGTTTTACTGACGATGCCAAATCATTCAACTGTGTGGACCATACCAAATGATGGATAGTCTTGAGAAGAATGGAAATTCTAGAACATTTTATTGTGCTCATGTGGACCTTGTACCTGGATCAAGAGGCAGTGGGAACAGAACAGGGGAATACTGTATAGTTTAAAATGACAAAAGGTGTGCGGTCGGGTTGTATCTTCTCATTATACTTATTTAATCTGTATGCTGAGCAAATAAACAGAGAAACCGACTTATATGAAGAAGAGTGTGGCATCAGGGTTAGCGGAAGGCTTATGAACAACCTGTGATATGCAGAAGACCCCAATCCTCACAAATGGCCCAATAGAGTGACGTCATGATAAATGGAGAAAATCGTGAAATTGTCAAGGATTTAGTCTTGTTTGGATCCACCATCACTACTCACAGAAGCAACAAGACATTAAACGGTGGCATTGCATTGGGTAAATCTGCTGCGCAAGACCTCTTTAAAGGGGTGACAAGCAAGGATGCTATTTTGCAATGGCCTCCTCCACATGTGCAAGTTGAACCCGGAATAAGGAAGACCAACGAAGAAGCAATGCCTTTGAACGGTGGTTCTCCCACAAAGACTCTTGATAGCACCGTGGCCTGCTCAGAGAACAAACCAATCCGTCGGGGAAGAAGTACAACCAGGATGTGCCTTAGAGGCAAGGATGGTCACACCTTTTTCACGTACTTTGAACTTTTGTTGGGAGAGACCAGTCCCTGGAAAAGCACATCATGCTTGCAAAAGAGGAAGGCCCTTGGCAAAACTGATGGACACCGTAGCTGCCACCATGGACTCAACCAAGCACAATGGTGAGGATGGCGGCGGGCCGGGCGGTGTTCTGTTCACTGTACAGAGGGTTGCTATGAGTCGGAACTTACTCGGTGGCACCTGACAACAATCCTTCCCAAAGAATTCTGTATTCTCCAGTTCACACCTCTTCAAAATGGCAGTTTGGGGATCCAGAGGCGACCCACATGATGCTCCTTTCAGGATTCTTTGAGTTTGGGGAACAAGCACAATTCTGAAGGAGTAGGAAGAGTCCTGGTGGCATAGTGGTTAAGCACTGGGCCGCTAACGGCAAGGTTAGCAGTTCACACCAGCTGCTCCTCAGGAAAAAGAGGAGGTTTTCTGCCCCTTGAGAGTGACAGTCGCCCAAATCCATAGGGGCCATTCTACCCTGCCCTCTAGTGACCCGTCCCGTGGGTCATTAAACAACATGGATACCTGAAAAAGGGACTGGGAATGAAGAGGGGCAAGAGACGCAAGAAATGGAGGCAAGACAGGAGT